CCGTCTGGTGAAATTCTTGGTTTCATATCGGGAACTATGGCGTGATTTACAGAACAAGCTGTGTAGCGCCCTCTGCAGACTCATCCTGGGATTACTCCAACATACGTTTACCTCATGATCTGGAACTTTGCCCATGTTTAGTTTTAGCATCCAGACTTGTCATACTATATGTGAGTTTTAAAATTAGGATCAGCAGAACAGGTCAACTTCAAAATATGTGTCGTTTAAACACAAATGGTATCGATCGGTAGCATCTTTTTTTCTCCTCGGACTCGGCTCAAAGTTTTACAAGAACAGCAGCTTGAAGTTGTTTGTCCTTTTCTGTTTTTAATTTGTTTCTGAATCGATAACTTAAAACGGTTCTTTAATTACACTGCTGAGTGTGTCGGCTGTTTTTGGCCGAGTCGGAGATCAATAACTTGTTATCATTTAAAGAAAGAATAATTAGAGTCATTGATCATCCTCGTGCCTGCAGACGGACGCTAACCAGCAGCTCAAACTCTTCTCCATGTGTAAGCAATATCAGAGGCGCTGTTTGTCAACTGGCAAGGCAGGCAACTGCTCGGGCCCCCAGACCAGTAGGGTCTCTTTGAACCAAAGCAGCAACCTAAAATGTGCAAATTTTGCAATGACGTAGGAAACCTCCCTAAGGGGGCCCCATCTGACAGCTCTCACTATCGTTGCCCTGCTGAACGCTGGTGGGAATGAAGTCTGCCATATCTAAAATCAGTGAATTTTCCCTTTAAAAAAAGTATTCTTGGTCACTCATTTTTCGATTCTTATCTTTTCTTAATGCTAAGCTAGGCTAACTAGATGATGACTGTTTCTACTTAATCGCAGAACGATTAGTCTTAACATCTCCCATAGAGAGAGAGAGAGAGAGAGATTTATTTTTTAAGTGTCAAATCATGATTTCTTGATTTCTTGGTTGATTTTAAGAACGGATTGGCAACTTTATTTGAACGATAAATTGAGCAATTCAGCAACTTTTCAGGCAGAAGATCACCATCTTGTTTCTCGTTCTGTGGGAGGATTTTCAGCTCCGTGCTAAAAAGTTAAACGGTCTGGATTTTGTTTGTCCCAGAGGAATAAAATCAAGCACTTTCTCAATGTGGTCGTGCCTAAACTGCTGTTTTTAAAGATGCATGCTAACTTTATATCGTCCATACTGGAGACTTATTTTAATGTTTCATTATTAGTCTTATTTCATTATTAATACAGTTTGCGCATTGTTTCCAGACTCAAGAACATAAAAACAATCTTCATCCGTTCCTTATTTCTGTGAGAGTGAATACAACACAAAGAAAGCAGTGTGTTTAATTGGTTATCGATCCACTTAAATGTGTTTTTTTTCTTTTTCTCGGGCACGTTTGTTCTGTTCATGAGGACACAGATGAATAATGAGCTGTTATTAAACTTCCATTATTAAAGGCAGAGTCAGCAGCATTTTTTCATTGCAGTTTTGTAAACACAACATTCAAACTGGGCTCGTCGACATCAGCTACTTTACTGTTCATTTTTTAAATATTTCTGACTTGTACGCTTCAGATTTCCACATCGAATATGAACGTGTGCAATCGAGGTTTCATAATCCCTGCAGGTCCATCGAGGGATAAATTATGATCTTTAAATCGTATTTGTCGGAGCAGAGGAGCTGCGGACACTTTTTATTTCCTGAGAATGAAACTTCTTTTTGCTCCTTTGCTCGCTTCTGGTCGGGGATCTTTCTCTCGAACCCAGCAGACCACCCTGCTCTCCGCTCACCTCGTGTTGAGCTCGTGATGCTCATTTCCATTTTCTGACTTTGATCGTGGCTGTCTCGCTTCCCTTTTTTTAAACCACAGCTTCTCCTTCAAACCTCAGGATGTGTCTGCCAAAACGCAGCTAATGCAGCCCGTGTCAAACTCATTCACAGTCTTCCTCGGTGACGTCCGGGCACCGAGCATACTGAGGTTTGGAGGCCCCGCCGTCAGCTCTCTCCCCCTCGTGGGTTTCCTTCCAGGTTTTTAAACCCTGAGGCTGCAGAACAACACCGCAGATGTTTACCCCAAAACCAGAGCAGAGAATCTGCATCCTGAGCTCCACTTTTCCTGTCAACACCGCCTACTGGTCTGTGTGGGAACGCTGGACCAGGCTGAACTCTGAGTGCTGGGTTTTTCAGACCACCCAACTTAGACTGACCCGGCGAGGAGGACCAGTCGTCCGGCTCTGAACCGTTTATCACTGACTCATCTCAACTGCTGGAGTTTGAACTGATTCTCTTCATAATGCGGCTTTGGAGATGCTCGCATTCAGCGTTTTACTCATGAGTCTGGAAAATAAAGTCTGCTGGACACACGGGCGTCATTACACTCCACAAACTATCACAACACACTCACACATTTATACACACACACACTCTGGGATTGGAATCTATTATATGTACGACAGATTGGCTTCAGGTCATCTGGAGAGAAACTGCTGCCGGGGACTTTTAAAGAGTTCATTAAAGCAGCAGCATGAAACTGGTCTGAAGCCTTTTAGCCAAATATTTCAAACCTTTTAGACCGAAGTCACTAACTGACCCACTTCAAACTGAGATACATTTAAAGAAAACTCTTGTATTCTTCATGGAGCCTTCCTCCATCCATTATCTTCTGTTTGTCCGGGGGCCGGGTCGCGGTGGCAGCGGGTTAAGCATGACGTCCCAAAATCTTCCAGCTCCACCTGGGGGATCCAAAGGCATTCCCAGGCCAGAACAGAATATATGATCCCTCCAGCGAGCTCTGGGTCTACTCCTGGGTCTCCTCTCAGTCGCCGAGGGAGGCGACCAGGAGGCATCCTGATCAGATGCCTGAACCACCTCGACTAGCTCCTTTTAGACGCAAAGGAGCAGCAGCTTCACTCCGAGCTCCTCACCGTCTCTCTAAAGCTGAGCCCAGATTCCAGCTTTAATTTATTTTTTAATCTGACACCTTCCCTCTGTGGATGCATGTTATTAAGCGGATAATAATTGTGAGATTTAGCACCCAGAGTTTGTCATAGTGAAGTTTCCTCAACGAGAGGAGAAAACATCCCAAAAGAACTTCAGCCTGTAGAAGTTATGTTTACGAGACGTTTTGTGTTCGACATTTTTTTTACCACGGTCGATGGAAGTTTTTTCAAGCCTCTGTCTTCCTTTTTTTTTTCTCTGTCTGCAGATTTGATTGTGAGGAATTGAGTCAAGATGTTTCGAGCGTTTCAGAAAACCCAGCGGACAGAGACAGAGCTCAGAGAACAAGAGAGAGAGAGAGAGAGACGGAGGGAGGTGACGTCAGCTCCTCCGTCTCCTCCGTCTCCACCCTCCTGCAGCTCCGCACAAACTCTGCACACACTCAAACTCAAAACAACACACTTCAATCACAACCCTCAATGTGTGACTTCTTACATTACTAAAACCATGACGAGCAGAGCAGAGCTGACCTTCAAACCTCTCAGCTCCACATCTGTTCACACTGAGGTTACAAATGTTCAATATGTTGATACCAAATGTTTTTAAAATCACACAATCTCTGTTGTTTTATTGATCCATCGTATCAGAACATGCCGAGCAGAGGAGTGAACCCGTCTGAAATGGTACCACACACTGTCTCAATGGCACAATGTTTCTGCAGGGAAACATTACAAGCAGGCGACCGGGGCGCTCTGTGGACATGAGGGAGAGACGCCATTCTTCCAGTTGAACGTTTTTGAGTTATTAGATCGACTTTAAAGTGAACGAAGGGGGAAAAGTTACACTTTCCTCTCAGGTGCTTTTACAGGCTTCAACATGCAAATAACTCAGATGTTCAAAAATATCAAAAAAGGAAACAACTAATTCTTCTACAGCGGATTTAGTTTGTGAGAAAATTTGAGAAAATCCTGAAGAGACAGTCGGAGTCTGAGAGTGGAAGATGTGGTCTGGACAAAGAAGAGACCATAATGGTTGTGTGTGTGTGTGTGTCTCTGGGGAGTTGGGTGGGGGGGGAAGGGGGGGTTAGGCATCATGTAGGAGACAATCAGAGACACACAACAGCCACAAAACGATCACACTGATCGGCCTCATGCTCCGTCTGAGAGACTCTCTGCGTATCAGCCTCTGGTTTGGAACCTCAGCTTGAAAATCACAAAGTCTGGATCATTTGAAGAAAATAAATGACCCCCCCCCCAAAAACCCCCCTCCCCCCAGACCCGACCACAGTGGAGTCTTGTTTGGTCGAGTCTCTGCTCTCTTGTTTGTTATGATGGTGTTTGTGTATGGAAGCAGAGATTCCTGCAGCATTCATTCATGAAGTCCCGTGTTGTTTGCGGGCTCTTGGTGAACGATCGTACATGACAATGAGGAGAATGAACTCTTGACTGTTAGAGATACGAACAAGTATTTTTAATGTACTTCAGAAAAACAACGGAAGACGTTCAGGATTCCCCTAGCAATAAAAAACAATGGGCTCAACTTAAACGCAGGGTTGGTAATTTTCTAAAAATAGCATGATTTTGAAAGTAGCATTCCCTCAGTGCTCCGTCTGCACCCCCTCCCCTCTGTGCTCCCTCTAAAGCCACGCCCCCTCACTTACATACACAAGCGCCGTCCCTCCAGAAGTGGACCTCAGCTCATCTCATTGTGTAGAAGCTACGTCGTCTCATGTCTCATGTCTCATTCAGTAAACTCTCAGTATAAACTCCTAAAGTCATCAGTGACGAGCTTTGAGTGTGAGCTAGAGCACGCAAGAGAGCGAGCAGGGAGACAGGGAGGCGTCTGATTGGTTCATCAGATTGATACCTCGTGGCAGACATTGGTTGAAGTTTTTACAGACTTACAACTGATACAGATGATGGATTTTCTTTGTTTCTTTTTCAGAGAACATGAGTTATTCATTTCTGTCAGGACCTAAAGACAATTTACACCAAACTCTGAAAAAGTGAATCTGGAAGAAATGACCAACCCTGCCTTTAAATCAAGGATACAAATATTGCTTTTTAGTGACACTGAACTTTAACACAAGTTTACAATCAAACTCCACGGCGCTCCTTTAATGAATCAGACAGTTACAAAGACACAAACAGGATCCAGAGTCTGTTTGTCAACTCATTTAACAATGTGCAAAATATACAAATCACTATTTAAAAAATAAAATAAACCTTCGGTACCTCAAATCATTTCTTTTCAGTAGCAAAAGCAAAATGTTCACCACCATGTTGGTTCGTAGAAAAAAAAGACCTCTTTACGTTTACATGTACACGGAACATCGTGGTCAACGTAACAACAAAACACAAGTAAGGACGCCAACAACAGATTCAGCTGAGGCACCAAAATGCCCGAATCCAAACGTCTCGACTGAAACTCTTCTCTCAGAACGCTTAGAAAAATGATTTCCATTCAGAGCCGTCAAACCTCCAGACTAAAGTCATAAATTAAAAAAGTTAAGGCTCTGGAGGATTAAGTTAAAAAAATCAAATATGCACGATGACTCTAAGAAATATATTTACAAGTCTGTACAGAAACATTCGACGTCTCCTCCCCCAAAAAACTAAAATAAATATGTTTTTTTTCCCACATTGGACGGTCGCTGATGAGCCGCCGATTCAAACACTAAACTCAGTCTTTAATCAAAGTCACGTCAGAGTTTGAGAAGTCTTCCGGTCTGCAGCGGGGCGTTCAGACCGGCGTCGGGTCAAAGAAAGATAAATAAAAAACGACGAGGATCCATCGTGAAGTCGGGAACGGACACTAAAGAATCCAAAAAGCGTAAACTCTGCGTTGGTTATACGATGTACTGTGTCTGCAGCTGCCTGTTGTCCTGTTTGCAGGTCCAGTGGGGGGGTTTATGGATGGGGGGGCGGTCCTCCCAGTCCACCAGCGAGTACGCCGGCGGAGCCCTCGGGAACCTCGCCTTCTGCAGACGCTTGTCCATCTCGTCCTCGTCTGATTGGCTCGCGGCGTCTGACTTCCTGATCCTGGCGTTGATGGAGTTCTTGTCCTCGCAGAGGCGGGGCTGCAGGAGGAGCTGGTGGTGCTGCTGGTTCTGGTGGTTCTGGTGGTTGTAGTTGGGCGGTTGTTTCTCGATGGGGTTCTTGATGTGTCTGAGCTGCTCGCGGGCGGCGCAGATGCTGTTGTGCAGGGCGTTGTTGTCCTCAGCGGCGGCCGCGGCGTTCAAAGACGAGGACAGCGCCGCCTGCGTGCTGACCCCGGTGTGTGCGCTCTGCTTCCTCCGCCTCCTCACACACCACAGCAGCGTGGACACCACCGCCAACGCCCAGACGAAGACCACCACAGAGACCAGCAGGGGGACGAGGTGGTCTGATGGAACAGAGAGAGAGAGAGAGAAACGGAGGTCAGAAGGAAGTTCAAACTTCCTGTTGGAACAAAGCGGTTTGAAGGACGCTGGAGTCATGCAGATAAAAAGTAAAAAGTCAGAGAATGGAGTCTGGTCAGAACATTTTATGATGCGTCAGCAGAATCTCGACACTGACAGACGCAGGGACACAAACACAAGGCATGCAGCTAACCACACTCACCAGTATCTATATTCATCAGCTCACTACATGATGTGTATTATTGCTGTTTTAAAGAAAAACAAGTCTCTTTTTGGAGAGATGATAAATGTTTGGGTCGGATCAATGCGTTGGATATGATGCACAAAGACTCCCAACACTGTGGCTCCTAAAGACGGACCACGGACCACGGGTTGGACTTCAGGACTGAATGAAGAGCCAGGCGGGGCTCTAAACGTAATACTTGTTTGGTACTTATTTGCTTGGATGCGTTAAAGCAGTGGTTCTCAACTGCCGGGTCAGGACCCAAAACCTGGTCTCAAAGAGTCTGTCAAGAGCTTTTTTCAAACGTGTTAGTTTTGTTCAGTTTCTTGCTTCCGTCAGATGCTTTGCACCGTCCGAGGTACAAAACAGTTGACGAGAGCTGCAAAACTGCAAAAAAAATAAAAACAATTATTTAATCTGATTGGGTGAAAAAATATTGGGATTTAGGTCGCAATTCGGGGGGAGTTGGTGGTGGGTCCTGAGGCTAGACGAGTTGAGAACCACTGCATTAAAGAACACATCTTTGTCACCAACTGTTCTCTCTGTTACCCTCTGGGAGGCGCTACAGAGCACTAAAGGCTCGCACCTCCAGACTGAAGGACAGATTTTATCCAAGAGCCATTAATGAACTGCACAAACTCTAACACTGACCCACCATGGGACAAATAATGGGACAAATAGTGCAATATTGATTCGACCTGCTTTGATTACACATTTAATTACAAACTAATGATGATCGTGCGTGTGTGTGTTTAGACATTTTCTACTGTACTTGTGTAGGTATATATATATATATATATATATATATATATATATATATATACACACGTGTGTATATGTATTTGTTTTCATTCTATATATTTATATTTTTTATATTTCAGGCATGGCACAGTAAATTTCATTGTATTCTTGTGCATTGACAATAAAGTCTATTCTATTCTATAGTGGTGCATTATTTCTAGTGATAAGTGCATGTGTTTGCTGACTTTCTGGATCAATCATTGGCCAGTGTACTCGCCTGTACTAGACGAGTGTACTAAACTTCAGGATGTGTTGGAGGCACTTTGGATTCTGTTGACAGTCTCAGAACAACAGATGTAACGGTGATTTAATGACAGGAAACAGGCTGAAAAGATGCTGAAATAACTTCATCATGATGCAGATTCTTCATTTGTCAGGTCTGTCGTTAAGAACACACGGGGCACGACCTTAAATTTCTTTTTGAAAGGAGTTTGGTTAGAATGATGCAGCACCTTGACGTCAGAAGAATCTTTACACCGACAGACTTTCACGACACGCTGACACGTTTCTATGTCGAGTTTCCTGACAAACAGAGTCTCCACTCTGAGCGGCGTTCACAGTAGGAGTGGAAATTTGGATGTATTAAAAACTGGTGTTGGCTCGTCTTTGAGTCTTTGGCATCTAAAGACTCGGTTAGTGTGGCTCACATTTGAAGATCATTGTCAACGTTTAAAGCGTAGGTCGTCGTTACCGTTGGCGTCGTGGCTCTGTCTTCTCTGCACGCGGACCTCGGCGATGGCGCTGATGATGGAGCTGTTGGCGCTCCGCTTGCTGACCAGATCCATGATCCTGTCTGTGATTTCTTTGACAAAGGTCAGACCTCCTCCTCCACCGCCGTGCTCCTCCGTCCACTGAAACAATCGACAGAAACAAACTGCGTTACGGTCTGATTATGCGTTGGCGTTTCAGAACGAACACTCTTTGGCGTTCACTATAATCAGCTCGAGTTCGCCTCTCGGAGGAAAACTCTTCTGGCACGCACGGTGACTTTGATTTCTCTGGTGGTTTGAACCGTTTCCCTCTCTGCTGATTCTCTTATCTCTAAATTATTCCCCCTTTTCCATTTTCATTCCAGACTCGGCTGAATACTCCAGAATCAGCGTATTTCATCGGGCACTTACGATGGCGATGTGGATCTCGTTGTTGGCGCTGAGCGAAGGCTCACACGTCATGGACACGGAGGAGGAGGACAGATTCCTGATGGAGTAGAGACTCTTGAGCTGGTGACAAACCTGCTCCACCGTCACACCCTGAAAACAGAACAAGAGGAACTATACATCAGAAACTACGGCAGCCTGAAGGTGACAAAAACTCAAAGGAGTTCCTGTGTTTCTACTCCTGGAGCCTGTTTTTATATATTTTAAAAAAGTGTTTAGATTAAAGAGGATGACAGTCACTCTCTCCACTGATGAAAATGATCACTTGACCTCACAGGAAACGGGAGTTTTTAGATCTACCATCGCCCCAGTTAGCTCGCTTGTGGTCGTTTATGGTTATGATGGAATTCAGCTCAGTTCAAACACAACATTTGTGTCAGTGGCGATTCTTGAGTCTCTTGGGACCCTAAGCCAGAATAAATTGGGGACCCTCCAACCAGCGTTCATCAACATTATGTCTAACAAGTGTCCTGACGCTTCCTCCACTTCCTCTTTTCTTTTTTTTTTCCTGTTTCTGTTTTCCCTCCTAAAGACGGATTATTCCTCTTCATTTTGCTTCGTTGACTTTCAGAAACGCATTTTGGTTTTCAAAGCAATAATGCACGTTACACTACACAAGAGTGAGTGCTGTTAGATGGGGCCCCCTTAGGGAGGTTTCCTACTGTCATTGCAAAAATTGCACATTTTGGGGCCCACTGCTTTGGTTTACATTTGTGAGCCCTGAGCAGTTGCCTGCCTTGCCTGTTGACAAGCAGCGCCTCTGATTTGTGTAGCACACAAACTAACACCAACTGATTGAAGCAAAGGTAGACTAGCGATCCCGTAGTTTTGTGGTTTTAAAAATGACTGTTTTGCCGATGGAGACGGGTCACCCATGAAGGACTAAACATTTGTCTTTATGGTCTCTGCCGCAGAGATAGAAACCACACTGACCCGTTCCATGCTCTCCTTTCTGAAGGTGAAGGTGATGTTTGCACAGCTGCTCTCTGGGTGACACCTGGCTGTGGGCGGGGCCTGGTGGGCGGGGCTCCAGCACTCCCCCTGGAGTGGGCAGGGCTTAACGAAGCAGCGCTCATCACGGATGGGGACGCAGGTCTGATCGGCCGGACACCCGGAGCCCCGCGTCTTACCGTGGAGGGTGCAGGGTTTGGGTCCGCACCAGAGCTGACGGAGACACGGGGAGGAGGAGGAGGTTAGATTTCTTTTCAGTCCATTTGTAATTTGGTGAGGGTCATTTCAGATTATCAGTAATGCATGGCTCAGATCAGGTGTCAGCTCTACCTTAGTGCAGCTGATCCTCCCGTTGGTACAGCTGCAGGTGTTGCAGTCTTCATCCCACCTGCTTCCATCCAGAGCGACCAGCCCCCCCACCACACACGGCCTCCCCGACACTGCAAACACAACAAGGTTAGTTTGTTTTGAAGTTACAGGTTTTGGGTATTTAGATGTTGAGGTTGTTTTTGAACATTTCTAATCCGTGCCCCTGCAGGTTTTACCTTGATGACAGCGAGGGCCGCTCCTCCCCGGGGGGCAGACGCAGCGGTAGCCGTTGATCTCATCCACACAGGTGGAGGCGGAGCTGCAGGGCGACGACTGGCACTCGTTTATGTCTGAGACAGAGAAGGGACAGATTTTAATAATAATCATAAAAATAATAATAGATTGAATTTATAGAGCGCCCAAAGACGACGGACCAAACGAAGAACAAACACACTGAGACAGGTAGCAGAAGGATGGGAGAGTGATAGAGAGGCGGAGTTAAGGGAGGTGGTCAGCTGTGGAGAACAGACGGTGTTTCAGAAGTGGGTTTTTTATGTGCTAAGCTAGGCTAACCACATGCTGGACAGATGATGCTGATCAGAAAGAGGAGTTCACTTCGTCTGATTTAAGAAAATTATCTTTAGTGAGAAACATTACTTAATAGCATTTAAACAGACAAAGAAATCAGTGAATAAGAAGAACCAATAGAGGGCGACGGAGAGTAACAGTCAAGCATAAAGGGTCTCAGATAAACACTCACTGATCCTGCAGTCTGGACCGGTAAACCCCGGAGCACATTCACATCGATACCAGTTCTCTCCGTCCACACACGTCCCACTGTTATAACTGAGAGAAGAGTTTTATTAATCATTTATTATGATTTATATTTAAAAACATGTGAAACAACTTTAAAGACTGAGGAAACATTAAAGGTCACAAATTCTGTAAAATCCTCATTTGAAGATTTTCCCTTCATGACATCACAAAGGGCAGTAACCCCTCCCCCAGGTGGGTGACACTCCCACAGCTAGGTGTTATGACTATAACTCAAATATTTTTGACTTTGTGGAAAGGAAGACATGCTCCTCAATCTTAAATTCTGAGAAAACTAAACATCTGAAATGTGAAATATTGCTCAGCAGCATTTCTTAAATTTAACCCGTTCATGTAACTGTTTTAAAGTGTTCATCATGTTTGACTCACCAGGGCTGAGGGCTGCAGTCGTTTGTATCTGGAACAAAAAGAAAGAGAGAAAACGTTTTTAGACGTTAAGATTCCTTTAATTGTTTGCTTAAACCCCCCAAAAAAATACAATTATAGAATATTTTAAAGGAGCAGTATGTAACTCTGACACCTAGTGTTCAAAATGGGTACTGCAGTCCAAATTCTAAACATTAGACGGAGCCGTCTCCTCCCCCCTGCAAATGGTTTTGCAGAGTTTTGGGGTTTCATGTGTGACATTAACTTTCTCCAAAATGACTTGAAAATAGCGGATCTCATTTCGCTTGAAGCCTTTGGCTCGATCTTAAAAGATAAAAAACACGAGGCAATTGGACACTGCCTGTGTTTCTGAATTGTAATCAATGATCAAGATTCTGCACTTTATCTGTAAATCAATTTGCACATTGTTGTTCTCTCTTAACTTGTTGTTTGTAAACTGTCTCTTTATCATGTAATGCTTTTTATGACGTGTGCTGCTGCCCTCTTGGCCAGGTCACCCTTGTGTAAGAGATCCTGATCTATTTACCTGGTTAAATAAAGGTTAAATAAAGAAAATAAAAAAGTGTGTTGGAGTGACTCACTTTGGCTGCAGGTGGCGCCCTCCCAGCCCTCCTTACAGACGCAGTTGAACGAGTCTCCGTCCACCACACAGGTCCCTCCGTTCTCACAGGGACTCGGCACACAGCTGCTGTCCTGAGCTGGACGTCCAAACATGCGGGGGGAAAAACTGTCAGACTACATGACGAAAAAAACATGAAGACAAAAAAAAACTCTGACATGGCGCCTCACTGACCGATGTTACAGCTGCTGCCCGCCCAGCCAGCGGCGCACACGCACGAGAACGTGTCTCCCTCGTCGTGACAGGTTCCTCCGTTGTTACAGGTCGCCTCGTCACACTGACTCTCTCCTGGAAGTTCAAATAAAGGATTCATTACAAAGAAAATGAAACGCGGAAATTTATCAGGTTTAAATAAAAACATCAAATCTTCGTACGTGAGCTGCAGGTTTTTCCCTTCCAGCCGTTGTCGCACTCGCAGTAAAAATCGTTGACCAGATCTCGGCACACGCCGCGGTTCATGCAGGGAGCAGAGCTGCAATCATCAACGTCTGAACGAGACAAAAAACAACAAGATGAAATCACATCCAGGAGGAGGGAGAGGACGAAGGGGAGGAGAGGAGGAAGAAGAGGAGGAGGAAGAAGAGGACGGAGAGGAGGAGAGGAGGAAGAAGAGGAGGAGGAAGAGGAGGAGGGGAGGAAGAAGAGGACGGAGAGGACGAAGAGGAGGAGAGGAGGACGGAGTGGAGGAAGAGGACAGAGAGGACGAAGAGGAGGAGAGGAGGAAGAAGAGGAGGAGGAAGAGGAGGAGGAAGAAGAGGAGGAGGAAGAGGAGGACGGAGTGGAGGAAGAGGAGGACGGAGAGGACGAAGAGGAGGACTCACTGTTCTGGCAGGTCGCTCCGTCCCAGCCGTCGGCACAGATACACTGAAAGCGACTGACTTTATCGATACAGGTTCCTCCGTGCAGACAGGGGGCGCTCTCACAGTCGTTGATGTCTGCGAGACAGAAAATAAACGTCAGCTCGGATCTCATCAGGAGTGAAACTCAGAGTCATTCAAGTATTCAAGAACTCACTCTCGTGGCAGTACGTCCCGCTGAATCCCTCGTCACACTCGCAGCTGAACTGTCCACCAGCGAGACTCTGACACCGCCCATGTGGGCCGCACACATTGGATGAAATCAAGCGCACCCCTCCTGCCGTGCTGTTGGACGTCACCGCCACCGTGCAGCTGTCAATCACTGCAGAGAGAAGATGGAGATGATTGGTTCAAAGAGTTGAGGGGTTAGGATTAAATCATAATGACGATTGACGACGGACTGGAGGGGAACCTTTGCACGGCGTGGAGCGGCAGTGGTCCTTCAAACGCGAGCAGTTTTTCCCCTCGTAATCTTCGGGACATTTGCAGACGTAATCCGACACCAGGTTGAAACACTGGCCGCCATTTTGACACGGAGCGTTGAGGCAGTAATCGATATCCAACTGTGGACAAAAACACTCAACAATTACACCCTGTGCTTAGCCGTTTCTATGGCACCAATGCAACACGTCGTCATGGTAACCACATACAGAGTACAAACAGAGCTTTTAGGATGTCTGGATACAGTCGTTCACTAACTCATCAATAATTTGTTTATTTTAGAAATCTTCTTTATTGAACACTAAAGAGTCGTCGGCATATTAGCTCGCTAGCTAACTTCACAGACAAAATTTAATTTTTAACTTCATGTTTGTAAAAAAGGGATAAAATGGGCGTGGCTTCGCACAATCTCACCTGACAGCGACTCCCAGAGAAACCAGGAGGACACAGGCAGTGGAAGCCGTTGACTTCGTCGTGGCAACGGCCGCCGTTGAGGCAAGGCCCGCTGGAGCACTCGTCCACGTCTTTCTCACAGCGGTCGCCGTCGAAACCCGGAGTGCACACACACTTATACCCGCTCACCAAGTCCTGAGAGAGAGAGAGACAGAAACATGACAAAGTTATGAGTGTTTAGGTTAAATATAATTCTTCTTTCTTAAAAAAAACACATAATGTTAAACTCTAATGAGGCGGTGTGCTGGTAGGAAACTAGCGATAGCATAAGTATCAGCGGAGACAGAGGGGTTAGAGAGACGTACGTTCCTGACCGTCTGTGAGAAACTGGATGAGATGAGATCAGTTCTTGTTTTCAATACACTCCTTACTTTGTTTCCCCTCCTGAAATAATTTTGAATTTCCCTCTGGATTAATAAAGTCTCTATAAAAAGTTTTCAGTCGCAGCTTCTGTCCCTGCAGTTCGGTGTCGTTGCTCTAAAGACACAGTGAGTCAGACTCGGCTGTGTACATCGAACATGAACACACAGTGACAGATAACGCCGCGACTGTAACGCGATCCGACTCACATCGGCTCACAATAAACCTTTGTGAGAGGAAGAATGGAAGAGAAAATAAAGCAATCAGCGTCTGTGAAGAACGACGACAGACTGTTTATGTTCTGCGGGGGAAATGAGAAAGTTTGGAGAAATCTGATCTGCTGTTGTCATGGAGGCAACACACACACACACACACACACACACACACACACACACACACACACTTCTGTCTCTGCCCTACATGCATGCCTCAGCGTTTACTGTTCATAGCTCTGCAGAAGAAACAATGGCCTGAAAACATGAAGGGTGTAAATCAGCTGAGGCTCACCTTACAGGTAGCTCCGTTTTGACACTGGCCTTGGCAGTCATTGATATCTGGAGGTGGGGGGGGGGGAATCACATGTTTGAAAAGATGTTATAAAAATAAGACAACCATAGACCCCAAGATTAGTTGCGGAAAATTGGACAGGAAAATAAAGTTGCACATAGAGAATTTTAAGATGTTTTTCCAAAAGTAGAAACAACTTTCCATTCCTCAAGACTCCACTGACAAACACAGGAATTTAAGCACACAAGACGCAGGCGTTGCTGCTCTACTGCTGCCTCAATCGCTTCAATTTTTTTTCGTTATTGTGCTTTTTACACAAATATTTTGTCGAATCAGAAACAAACAAACAAACAAAGAAAAACAGCACAAACAAACAAATCAACAAACAAAGTAATTTGAAGAGTGCCTGATTCCTCTATTGCATGAATGTAGAGTCTTACTCACTGGTGTCACAGTTCTGCCCCGTCCAACCAAGAAGACACTCGCAAAAGTATCCTCCAATCAGATTTCTGCAGGAGTTGGCGTTGACGCAAGGGTCATCTTTACACTCGTTAGCATCTAAAAGTGGAAAAATAAAGTGAAACCAGAGCCAAAGTGCGCACAATCAAGTTTCAAAACAGCTGCAGTTCCTCCAGTGTCCACTAGAGTCTGTCTCCTGCAGTGAGTCAGTCCTCATAGAGCCCCATGTTAAAATGTCTAACTTTACAGCTGCAGTTCCTCCAGTGTCCACTAGAGTCTGTCTCCTGCAGTGCATTGAGCTCCACTTTTTACAACCAGTCACATTAGAGCTTTACTGTATTGTACATGTTAGCAACAATTAGCAGCTAATCTGTGCTTTCTCTTGCGCCTGACTTGTTAGCTTAGCTTTTTAGCTACCTTATTAGCTACTGCATGTATCAGCCTGGACCGTAATTGTACAAATATCCACAGTAAGTGCTTCCCCCTATTGTCCAAATAGGGTAATTTCGGCTTCCAAAAACAAGATGGCGCTCGCCAAAATGCCAAATTTGAGGCTTCAAAACAGAAGGCTTTTTTAGATTTAAAGTTACAAAGTGTCTCTTTAAGCGACGACCAGGCAAGGGCAAAGATGTAAACGGTCGGGTGTAACGGCACCCTGACAACAGATAGAGTTAGTATGACTCCAGACTCGCTGCAATAATGAAACATAAACAGTGTTAATGTGTTTTCTGAGTCTGGCTTCAGTCAGCAGGAAAACAGGCAGACGAGCTACGAACAGCTAAACACTGAGGAGCATGTGGCTGGTGGTCGGCGGTTGATTAGCGCTGTGGTGAGGCGATATGGGGCGCTAATCCTCCAAACCACAACCGTTCCTCCAGGCAACATCCTGCAGATTTTGCAAATAAAACCTTCAGCAGTCTCAGCAAAGTGAAGATGGAGCTCTGTTCGACGTGATTTCAGCAGATTTATTTGTACATAAATCCACAGAAAAGTCTCCGCAGTGGAAAATATGAATCACGACTTCAATGGGGAGTCCAAAAAAAGTTTCTTCTCAAGCATCAACATCAGAGTTAGAATTCATCTAAAACAGCAGAGCATGCATCTGAGGATCACTGACCGATGAGGCAGGTCTTCCCGGTCCACTGAGGAGGACACAAACACCTGAAACCGTTCACCAGGTCCTGACAGGTCCCGCCATGACTGCAGGGGTTCACCGCACACTCGTCCACATCTGAGGGGACAAACGGAGTTCATGAATCATCTCTCTGGGGTTTTTAGAAAAAGCATCCGATTAAAAAGTTTGAAGGTTCAGACAGTCGTACTGATAGAGCAGGACGGTCCGCTCCATCCGGGCGCACAGTGACACTCAAAACCCAGACTGGTTTCAGCACAGCTCCCTCCGTTCACACAGGGGGCAGACAGACAGGCGTGGTCCGCTGAGAGAGAGAGAGAGAGAGACAGACCAGGAGAGAGGGAGCTGTGAGGATCTATTTTACACCAACATAAAACTTTGTTCTCTCCTTCAGTTTCAATCCTGAATTTGAATGAACAGGCGGTGCAGTCGGCTCCTCTCACCTCTCTGACAGTTGACACCGGAGAAGCCGTGCCGACAGGCGCAGTGATATTTGTCCGGTCCCGTGTTGCTGCAGGTTCCTCCGTTTGAACACGGCTGCAGCGTCGCACACGTGTTCAGATCTGCAGAGACACAAACACACACACGACTCAAACTCAAAACTCAGCTGCACACGTTCACAAAATGATCAATAAAGCATATAAAGATCTGTACGGTGAAACGACAGGTGTGTGTGTGTGTGTGTGTGTGTGTGTGTGTGTGTGTGTGTGTGTGTGTGTGTGTGTGTGTGTACCTTTGTCACACAGCTGTCCTCCGTAGTTGGTGTCACACAGACACTGCCAAGGCTCCACACAGCTGCCGTAAACACAGCCGGGGTGAGGAATACACTGATCACAGTAATCTCCCTGCCAGCCGTACAGACACCTGACACACACACACACACACACACACACACACACACACACACAGTAAATATTACTGGATGAGGCCTGAGTGACGTCCCCCGTCTGTTCCTGCAGGGGGCGCTGGAGTCCCATCGATGGCGGTCTCCATGCTGGAAATGCTGTCTCAGTCTAACTTTCTCAGTCTAACAAACCGTCACACCGCGCCCACCGGTCAATCAGGTCAGCTACACGCCTTATTGTGAATAACTCTTATCCTTCATCAAAATTGCTTCCAGAGATGAAGCTTCAGAGTCCACCACATGGTGACCTGTGTGAGCATGGACTCTAGAGAGGAGGGGGCGGGGGAGACAGCTCTCTATGATGTTTAGAATTTAGACTGCAGTACCCAAATTTAAACACTAGGTGTCAGATTTACATACTGCTCCTTTAAAGCTACAACTAATGGACGACTTGGAAAACCACTAATCAACAATATTTACAATTTCTAACATGCACACACAAAAACAGAACCCTGTTGCTGTAAATACTATTTAATGTTTTGTGTTCTTGTAGACCTCAAGTCCTCGCTCTGTTCTGTGAATGTTACACCTCTGTCTCTTCAGAGTTTCCTGTGTTTACCTCACTATCAACCACAGAAATGTGTGTGTGTGTGTGTGTGTGTGTATTGGTTCTCACTTGCACTCTCCAGGAACTTTACAGGATCCGTGTTCTGAGCTGCAGCCCTGCCTGCAGATCGCTGCAGAGAAACACAGAAAAAGACAGAGTGTCAGAAAGCATGACGGACAAATAAATAACTTTTATCCATCTTCATGAAAGTCAACTTGAGTTTCCCCAGGAGCATTTGAATGCACCACCAGAGGAAGTACAACTGCAGCTACTTTTGGAGAATATTGGAGAACAGTCTTCCTAAATCTGCAGATAGTATTTGTCATTAAAAACCTTTACACAGATCTTACTCACCCGTGTTACAGTCCGGACCGCTCCAGCCCTCCAGACACGTCTTGTTGCCGTTGTGGTCGCACTCGTAGTGTCCGAAGAAGTCGTCTCTCGGGCGGCAGAACTTGTTGCAGCCGAAGCCGTAGTAGTGCTCGTCACAGGTGAGGCGAACCTGGAAGGTGAACTGAGCCACTCGGCCGTCGTGCTTCAGGTTCTGCCACTGACGGTTGGGATTGATCATCCCCGAGTGGACGGCTTTCTCGATCGCACCTGAACACAACAGAGAGTGAATTTGTTGTACGTTTTGGATCTCTTTCAACAACCTCTGAACGAGCCTCATGCAGCATTATTGTTTGAGTTAGTTTTGACATGCTAACTTGTTTTTACGCAGAAGATTGTCTCAGTGACTGCTGAGGTTGGCTGCTGTAGTTTTCCAGAGTTTGAAAAAAATGCGGAGCGGCTCTGTGGTATTTCAGCTGTGGGGTGGAAAGCGTGCTCAGGCTGAGGTGAAGCTGTTTGTTTAAACCGACGGGCAGCCGGAGCGAACGAGCTGAAACCTTTCGAAAACCTCAGAGCAGGTAACACCATCCAGGCTGAGAGCAAACTGTGACTCTTCACATCCCCGATGGGGAAGAAATAAAGGTGCTAAAAACAGCACACAGGTAGCAGATTTGAAAAAATAGTGAAGCAGCTCACAAAAGGCAGGACCCGCTTCGTGCGGGACGTTTCAGCAAATATTCAGACTTTGCACATTCTCGATGAATTCCGCCTGAGCTGCTGAGCCCACACCTGGCTGAGAGCTGCAGCACACCTGCAGCGGAGGTGGGTAAAGGGTTTTTATCATGTCCTCTAAGGGTTTCTGTCGGGACAATCTTAACAGAGTTTGGGTTTACTGCTTCGTGCGGTCTTTGTGAAAGAAGCATCGATCCGTTTTTTCTTCAAATTGTCCAGGGCACAGACTCCAAGACATACATAAAGTAATATATCCTCTTGTAAAGTCCATTGCTTAAAGAAAGCAGGCTTCAAAGAACCATTACAGACTTATACTGATTTATAATCCACTTTAAAATGTCGATTTCCCTTCAAAAAACAATTCAGCCACCATATTGGCAATCAGTGATTTTTTCCAGTCTTTGCTGCAAATGATACACCAACAATGGCCTTATGAAGTAGTCGTGACAACATGTGAATAACAAGCGTGTCTGTAGCCATCTGATGAATGTGCGTCCATTATTCTCTCTCTTTTAGCTCTGTTTTTAGTCTCCACCAGCTCCTGAGAAAAAGATCACAAAGTTCCTCTATTTGCACCAGCTGCTGTTCTTGGTATACCAGCTGCTTTATAAACATCATAACCCTGATAGGAGAAGCAGCCGTGTCTTCTGGGATCTACCTGAGCTGCAGCACAGTAACCGAAGGATGCAGGTGTTCAATAAAACCACCTGTTTGTAGCTCAACTGAGAGGGTCAATATTTGTTCTGTCCTCGTAGATTCAGTTTTTAACTCTCAGCTCTGTTTGACTGCTGGAGGTTCGACTTTCACTCGCAGCACGTTTATTTCTGCCTCCATGTTTGGACAGAAACACGAATGAACCAGACACACACACACACACACACACACACACACACACACACACACACACACACACACACACACACACACACACACACACACACACACACACACACACACACACACACACACACACACACACACACACACACACACACACACACACACACACACACACACACACACACACACACACACACACACACACCCTCGTACACCTGAGCTGAGGTCAGCAGACTTCTCAGTGGGCCGATAATGGTTCCCTGAGGGACGCCAAATACAGCACGCAGCCAACACGCTCACTCTGAAAGCTTCACTGACACTCAGAGTATAAGTTAGCAGCTTCACTCTCTCCTCACACTCTCTCTTTACAAACCGTTTTCTCAATGGGACTCAAACACGGCATGTAAACACTCAGACGGGCGGGTGAAAGAGTGTGTAATAATAAACATCAGGGGTCTCTTAGCGGTTACAAAAGTTGCTGAAAAAGACACTCTGGGCAGAGAGGTGTAATGATGATGATGATTGTACTCACTGCCAGATGAAGAGTCGTTGTTAAAGTCCAGAGCCTCCACGATCAACGTGTACGACCTCTGCACAAATAGAGACAGAGGAAACAAGTTAATACAAGATTAAAAAGATACAAAGATAAATCTGTGAGTTGAGAGTGAGACCAACACCTGAGTCAAGTCCTGGGACCAAAAGTGCTGCACTAAGCGTCCAAAGGTCCCCCTAACTCTTTAATTAGCATAGATAGATTTGTTCTGGTACCATTTTTCCGTCAGCTAGGACACACGACGAAAAAACAAAACAAACTGAAACTTGCTAAACCAAAAGTCAATTATTGCTCCTCGTCAATTAAAAAAAAACATATATGTCACAATAATGACCAAAAAGGGGGTGCACGCTTTGCACATAAAGATATAACAGGGTACTGACTGCTGTGTAAACTGTCAGAATTTGTACCGAGTTCATATTTATAACTTCAGGTGTTTGAGTGAAGACCAACAAGTCCCAGTTTGACATCAGCAAACACAGATTTCAGCAGAATGGGTCAACTTTAAGACAGTCTTTGCACCCAATAGCAATCAACAAATCAGAAAAAGCTGTCATCTCTAGCTGCTGTAAAGTACACAGATCAAACGCCTGTAAACTTCAAAATTCTGAAGGAGCCATGAGGGGATGTTATATTTTGAAACGTGATAGCTATCAAGGATAACCAACCCCACCTTTGAATCTATAGAATAATCAAATAATTTTTTGTTTGTTTTTTATTCTTTATAAACTCCGATACACGTCTTGTTCAAGGCTGTTTCTCTCGACTTGGAGTCACCGCAGTAGACGAGCACTAAGGCTGTACAATGAACCCATCCATCCACATATTTTCAAAACTGCACTTTGGTTTTGGGCAACATCTAAATCACAGAGCTGCAATGTTTCAATAAAGAAAAAATGTGATGAAGGAATGAAGTCGAGCTGCCGAGATGATCTGGCCCACAAATGTTGTACAGACCCCAAACAGCTGTCACAACATCTGGATGCAAATGGTTTTTTTACAGAGGGGGAAAAATGTGCTGCTACAAATATCATCCCTACTAATTATAATTCATATAAGTCTTAAAATAACCCCAATACAAAAGGCATTTGTTGTGTCTTTACAGAAGACACAACACAGAAAGTGCACGTCTGTAAATGTCTCCTGCTTACATCAGAGCCCAACATACACCGAGTCCGCGTGCAAACACCAGAAACACTCGACTCAGACTCTCTGACAGTTAACTCTGAGCGGTTATTTTTCCTAAACTTCGTCCTCGGTGGTCTCTCGTCATCCTCACACCCTGCTGCTGCTGACGTCGCTCCACAGCAGAGAGGTCAACTCTGTCCTACAGCCCTGAGCCAAGCAGGAAACTACAGCCAGACCACACAGTTTACAGATTAGCGTGTTAGCGTGTTAGCGTGTGATGTCAGGTTATGGAGCACAGAGCTGTTGACAGGTTCAGAGACTGTACTGATCCTTTACTAACAGGTTCACTTTGGTTCCTCTGAAGACGCACGGGGGGGAATTCGCTACAACTTGAGTCTTGTTTTGTTAGTTTTGTCCACAATTTTTGTACGTAACAGAACACTTTTCACTCCAAGAGATGAATGTTTGTGGTTTGTGAAGACTGTGATGTTGCCAAAAAGAAGATGAGCAGACATGCAGGAAACATTGGCAATGTGTTCAATCCAAACAGTGAGTAGGAGTTTTTTGGATGAATTCATTCCTCTCCTTCACACCTGTCTCATCAAATAAAGATGTAGTTTTTTTTTAAAGATTTGGTACTTTTTGATGCTGCTGATCATTAAATCAACAGAGATTATATCGTTTAAAAACACAAGGTGTCTAAAAGGAACTGAAGTTTCAAAGATTTTGAGAACCTTCGTCTACAAAACACTTAATTCTCCAGGATAAGTGTCCGATCACAAACAGACGTGTCACTAGAAACCATTGTTTTCCTCAGGTACAGTACACTTGCCGCTTCCCGAGAACATTTTTCTGTTGCTGCTCTTAAATGTTGAAAATGTCAGCTTAAGATCTCATCATCGCCCGTCCTTCTAACTTTAGATTCTGCTCCTGAATGCTCTGGATTTGTTTGGACCTGAGAAGGTAGACGGTTTTAAGGCAACCCCCCACACGGCCGTTTTGGACGCCCCTCGGTTTGCCAGATATGAGAGCAGTTATCAGGTCAACAGGTGTTGCAGTGATGGAAGCAGGCAAGAGAAGTGGTTCAGATAGAAGTGATTGTACCCGACCTAAAAAGCCTCTGCATGTTTCTAATAAGCTCCACGAGCAGAAACGTGCTCAAACTAGGATCAATATTGGAGATGCTTTTGAAAAATGGAGAGAGGTTAGAACACAGAAAGGTTTACAGACCCATGCAGAGCTGGATAAACACTGAAGCTTCAGAGTCCACCACATGGTGACCTGAGTGAGCATCGACTCTAAAGAGGAGGGGGCGGGGTCTGCAGCTCAGTTCCCCCAACAAAAGCTCAAACAAAGCCAGTATACTTCAGTAGTTTAGAGTCCAAATCAGAGCTCTAAATAGAAACGTTTGTTTTGTTAAAGTCCTCTGAGACTTCATCCCTGAGAGACAAAAAATCAACACGACTGAAGCAAAGATAAACATTAGCCCTTTTGAACTTACCGGCCATGCAAAGCTGAATGGCAACACAATCCTGGTGTTTTCCCTCTTGGCGTTGCGTAGAGTAAAGGTATTCCCACCGAGCACGGGCGTGGAGGCGGTGCCGAAGCTGCAGGGCCCGGCAGAGGACACCTTCAGCTGGTACTCCTTCAGACACACCCGGAAGTAGGTGTCGCATTCGTCTGCCGCGCACCGCTCATCCACCGTGTGCCGTGATCCGTCACAGCAGGCACCGGTCTGAAGATGCCCTTTAGCGTTCTGCATGGATAAAATCTGGAGCTCAAAGTGTCCCGAGGCTGATGACACCTGCAGAGAGATCGGACAGGTGAGTTCACGGCAGGGAGAGCGACATTTAAACTTAGATTCTTCTAAAACTCAAGTTATAAATTCAGGAGAGAAGAAGTAGAGGCCAAGTTCCCTGACTTTAAGCCTCTAGATCATGTCACACTCAAAAACGTTAAGATCCTACATATCCCATAATGCAATGCAACATATTTTAATTACTTTCACAGTAAACATGCTATGTTGAAGTGCTGGCTTCTCTGACAACAATGCAGCAGCCTGTATGTCCTCCTTCTAACTTTAGATTCTGCTCCTGAATGCTCTGGATTTGTTTGGACCAGAGAAGGTAGGCGCTTTTAAGACCCCCCACACTGCTGTTTTGGACGCCCCTCGGTTTGTCAGATATGAGAGCAGTTATCAGGTCAACAGGTGTTGCAGCGATGGAAGCGGTCAAGAGAAGTGGTTCAGATAGAAGTGATTGTACCCGACCTAAAAAGCCTCTGCATGTTTCTAATAAGCTCCACGAGCAGAAACGTGCTCAAACTAGGATCAATATTGGAGATGCTTTTGAAAAATGGAGAGAGGTTAGAACACAGAAAGGTTTACAGACCCATGCAGAGCTGGATAAACACTGAAGCTTCAGAGTCCACCACATGGTGACCTGAGTGAGCATCCACTCTAGAGAGGAGGGGGGGGGGAGAGACAGCTCTCTATAATGTTTAGAATTTAAACTGCAATACCCATTTTAACCACTAGGTGTCAGAGTTACATACTGCTCCTTTAAAGAGACAAAAATATACTTTTGCTTTATCAAGTATCTTTGAATTTGCAGCTTTTTCTGATTCATACATAATTGTTTTATTTGCAGCTTAATGTCTCCATCTGGATCTGTTTGTTGACGTACATTTAAGAAAGAAGCTTGAGATGTCAATATGAACATAATCAGTATTATGAAACAATGAGGTGTGCAGAGGTGAGAAGCAGATGCAGAGTTGTTGAATGAGTTTGGTGACATGGCGTTAAGCTGCTGCAGGAAACAGAAATCATGTTCTGGATATTTTTATTTGACGTCAGTGTTTCCTGCAGGATCTTTAATCAGTCAGAGCAGACCCTGAGAACCGACTCAACTCAAGAAAACTGGAGCTGTTCTGATCATAACACACACTATTTTTAAATCCATTTGAACCAAATTAAGAGCCAATTAAGATCCAGAGTCCAATTAGAAAACGATAACTGTACGCACACAACACAAAATATGAACGATGCTCCTTAAAAAAGAATCTAATTAAAGTCTTTAATTAAAAAAAGAGTTAAAAACCCTCTAAACTCGACCACTGACAGGGAGGTAACTGAGGGACATTTGGTCTTTCTGAAGCTTTTTTCAAGTTGATTTAAAATTAATTCAAAGTTTGTTCTTGTGTGCTGCATCGCAGACTTTACTGTTAAAATCCAAAGCTAGTTCAGCATAGATAACTTGATATTTTCCTGCAGAAATGAGGACAGTCAATTATCTTATTTCAGCTGTTTAATCTCTTAAAAGTGAGTTTAATCATAACTCATTGAATCATAATAACAACTGGAACTATTGTGTAAAATATTTTACATTTTATCTCACTTTTTCCATTCTTTTGTCAAACTTTGTGGATAGAAAGTGCGCTGTTATTTTAGATTCCAGGTGAGAAAATCTGCATAGCTTCATGCCGATAAAGAGAGAAGCATTAGCTCAGTGTTTGGGGTTTCTTACACACATTTCTGACAGCTGCTGTTTGGACGGAACCTAAATAAGACAGGAATCAGCAGGAGTCTGGCGTACCTGTATGCGGGCGCAGAGCAGCAGCAGCAGGCTGAGGGCTCCGGGGAGGAGGGCGGAGCTCCGTGTGAGGGTCATGCCGGCGGCGGGGTGCTGCCTGCGGCTCTGTGGGGGTCAGTGATAGTCGATGAGACCCTCCGCTCCTGCTGTAGACCCCTCTGTGTGGGACATGCACAGACTGAAACACAGCTGCAGACTCTCTTTGCGGAAGTAGTCCAGAGAGTTCCGAGCCGAGCTGCTCCGTCCTGCAGGAGAACCTTTTGTCTGCTTTGTCCTGCTCCTCTGTTTTCATGAACACAGCTTTCACTCCCCTCTGTCTGCAGCTGGAGCGGGGCAGTGCAGTTTGATCGACCCCGGGAGGAGACTGGGGTAATATCCACCCAGAGTGGGCGGGGCTTTCGCTCAGACCACGCCCACCTTTGCATTATAATGTGCAGCGGTTTGTTTACAGTGAGTTCACATGGAGGTGCAGAAGTGCTTTCACACAGAGAAGCTAAAATCCTCCAAAACAGACATGAGAGGGCTTTAACGTCCGCACGATAATTATAGAAACAGAAGAAGAAGAAAGTGAAGTCCTCGTGTTTTAATTATTTTTCAAATTCTGCACTCATTCCTGACATTTTCTCCAACTTTGCCTCCAATGTTGAAACACTGTTGATTTCTAGTACGGTGGCTCTGGATGTCAAACCGAACAGAATGTCACATAAAGAAGTTTATTGTGTGATTTGCAGGCCTTTGTTTGGACATAGTTTAGGGTAGTAACAAAAAGTAGAAAAACTTAGAAACAGCACACTTGAACACAAACTTGAACTGATCTGAATCTGGAGGAGAGGAGAGGTCAGATTCTTATACCCACATGCCCTCTGTGTTCTGTTAATGTACGTTTTTATTTAGATTTTTCACCAAAGATTGTCTTACTCGCTTTAAGGCTTCTTATGTCGTTTAACAATAATGAAAACTCTCAAAATGTATATCCTCAGGTCAAATATGATGAATGTAAAGGTTTATTATCAGAGATAAGGATGAACAACACAGTGACAATATGAGTCCATCAAATTAAGATCAATGTGCAGTGTATGAAATCAATGTGAAGACAGGATGGGTAATGATCTGAATATACCAGTTTAACAATGACTTGTTTGTTGTTGTTGATTTTTTCCTTTTTTTTTGCTTTCACCAGGATGGCAGTATCTCAGTCTGTGAGGACTTGGGATGGGATCCGGAGGGTCGCTGGTTAAAGTCCTGGTGTGGACCAAACACATTAGTGCATGTCCACAGGATGCTGTTTGTGCATGTGTGTTTATTTCAGCCTGTGTGTGTGTGTGTGTGTGTGTGTGTGTGTGTGTGTGTGAAGCTTCTTCTTCTTGTTCTGGTCATCTGTGTTTTCGATGAGCCTCCGGAGCCCCCCTGCAGTGACAGAAGGGTGATGTCACTCAGGCTTCGTTAATATTTACAGTCTCTGGTTTTCTTGTGATTACGAGTTAATTTCCAGACTCTCGATAAAAAGGCTGAAATGTACTCGCTTTAAGGAGAAGACCAGCGTTGTCATCCTGAGATAACGATCTCCAGAAAAGAATGGAAATGTCTTCACTATAACAGGAAAACAGTACAATAAAATGTATGGTTGTATGTCTGTGTGGGGCTTCTGTAATATACCGTAGTACTAAAGTGAGAGAGTGATTTTATTAAAGGATGTTCACTGAGAGGGGAAAGAGTTATAATAATCGAGAACGCTATGATCCCAGAGTGCAGGCCTCCTCATGGTACCTTCACTCTTTAAATGTAGTATGGGAGGTAAAAAAAAAAAAAGTCAAGTCTGCACATACACAGAACAACACAGAGAACATAACAGCTGCTTTACTGACTGTGTGTCAGTGCTGTCCACGTTGTGTACTCGTGTACTTGTACTCATGCATGAACTGTGCCGTGCCGAAGTACACCTCCAAGCGTGCCAGGGCCAAGAAAGTTTATTTAGTTGTTTATTTTGACAGGGACAACAGCCAATCAGCTGTATCAGAGTTAGCTATAAGCTAATTTACATTACATGTAAGTGTACCGTGCTCAAGCACAGATCGGAGCGGTAACACTGGCCAAACAATTTGGACTTTAGGGGTGACGCGTGCTTAGTTCACGGTACGGTTTGCAGAGTGTGAGTGTGCCCTAAATGTAATACGGGAGGTAGAGCCTTCAGTTATCAGGCTGCTCTCCTCTGGAATCATCTACCAGTCAGAGTCCGGGAGGCAGACACACTCACTACTTTAAGAATAGACTTAAAACTTAAATCTTAAAGTTAGGGCTTAGACCACCGGGGGAACTGGCACCTTGAGCTCCTCTCTCCCTCTCTCTCTCTCTCTCCCTCTCCCTCTCTCTCTCTCCCTCTCCCTCTCTCTGTCTCTCTCCCTCTCTCTCTGTCTCTCTCTCTCTCTCTCTCTCTCCCTCTCTCTCTCTCTCTGTCTCTCTCCTCTCTCTCTGTCGCTCTCT